TCAATAAATAAATAAATACATACAAAAATAAATAGATAAATAAAAAAATAAATAAATTAGTAAAGAATATTTAAAAAAATAAAATAAAGAAATAAATGCAAAATCGAATTTCTCATAAATCTCAGCTGGCTGACAGCGAAGCTCTATATATTTCGCTTGGCTAACAGAAACTCAGTTAAGCCGCGAAAAACGGTCAATTTCAACGTATGCCAGCAAAGCTCGACAGCTCGATTAGGGCAGATTTCCTTGAGAGATCTGTGGGCGGGGCTGGGGCTGGTGCTGGGGTTGAGCCGCAACTGCGATCCACGGCCAAAAGACTTCAAATCGATTCGTTTTCCAATTGGCTTTCTGCTTTAGCTGCTGGAGCTACACACACACACACACACACACACACACACAGCACACATTTTGCCTGCAAGGAGTGCTGCGCCTTGGCCTGGCAGCGACAGATGGAGCAGGCAACGGCCCACAGTGCTGCTAAAGATACTTGGACAAGCTTTGGCGTTGCGTTTTTCGTCGCTGGCTATGAAACAGATAAATTGCAAAAGTTTTTCCCAAATATTTTCACAAGGCGCTGCTGCTGCTGGTGATGGTGATGGTGGTGCTGGTGGTGGTGCTGGTGGTGCTGGTGGTGCTGCCGGCAGGAGGAGCCCGAGTATGAGGCAGTCGGCAAAGATTGGGCATTGAGCACGTGGTTTGGTCCACACAAAAATGGATCGTCTGGTGGGCATAGCGCAAAAATCTGCAATAAAATTTTACCAATAAACTTTAGACGCACACACACACACACACACACACGCACATACACATACAAACACATGGCAGCAGTTGCGGATATGCGGATGTAGACAGGTGAAACTTTTTTGAACTATACTAAATTATTGTAGTTGCCGGAAAAAGTTTGCCCGCCGCTTGCCGCACGCACTACAGCAACAACAGTGACAGCAGCAGCAGCAGCAGCAACAACAACAACAACAACTGCGACAGCAACAACAACAACAACTGCCATATACACTCACACGTGTGTTAACCCTTTCCTGTATGCCATGCTGGCGTGTTGGGACGACGACGCACCTTTTGACATGCCCACGAACAGACAGACAGAGAGAGACAGAGTGAGAGAGAGAGAGAGGGAGAGAGCGTGCCGTGGGCTTGTAAGTGCCGCAGGAGTTGCGTTTGCCATGGCAGATAACGCTGCACATATGCGAGCGAGCAAGACTAAAGCTATAAAATGCGGTTAACTAATGGCAGGGACTGTAGCATCAACACCCGCAACCACCCGCAACCACCCAACCAGCGGCGTGACACCACTCGAAGCGAAGGCTTTGCCCGCTGGACCGTGGCAGTTATTAACATTGAGCGGCAAAGGGTTGAGCGGCACGTGCGGAGACTGTGATTTTAACAGTGAGTGCGTGAGTATGGGTGTGTTGGTGTGGGTGTGGGTGTGAGTGGGTGGGTGGGCGTGTGCGTGTGTCTGCAACATTTCATTGCACTCAGTGTTTTGTTGTTGTTGCTTGGGTAACATTTTTTTGCCGCCATGTCCAAAGTGACAAATGTGCCAAACTTGTGCGAATTTCAGGATGCAGGATGCAGAATGCAGGGCGCGGGACGCGGGGTGCGGAGTGCGGGTTGCGGAATGCACAATGACAATGCCAGGCGCAGAGCAGCAGATGCGACAAAGCCAGGCCCCTAGCGAAAGCTCGCCGTGCAACTCACTTCGGTGCTAAGTTTTTACGCTCTCAAGGTCGCTGTCCGTCCGTCCGTCCGTCGGTTCGAGTGACCTATTGAAAAGTTTGCGAGTGCAAAGCCCCGCACGGAAGACCAGAAATATGATGTTTTTAGTTAGCTGTCCCATGGCATAGCGGGCTTAATTTATTGATTCGCCGGAGCTGCACGCCGGAGCTGTGAGCAGTGCACGGCGTGCAGTGGCCAGAGCTGAAGGATGTGATTTGTGTAATTTGCGGGCGAAGCCAAGTCCGATTGCCTTACAACTTATTGGTGTAATAATATCTCTCTCACTCTCACTCTCACTCTCACTCTCACTCTCACTCTCACTCTCACTCACTCTCACTCTCACTCTCACTCTCACTCTCACTATCTCCCTCTTCCTCTTTCCCTCTCTCTCTCTCTCTCTCTCCTTCTCATTCTCTCTCTCTCTCACTCTCACTCTTTCCCTCTTCCTCTTTCCCTCTCTCTCTCTCTCTCTCCTTCTCATTCTCTCTCTCTCACTCTCACTCTTTCCCTCCTCCTCTTTCCCTCTTCCTCTTTCCCCCTCTCTCTCTCTCTCTCCTTCTCATTCTCTACCTCTCCTACTCTCTCTCTCCCTCTCCCTCTCTTGACACACACACCAATTGCAATGGGCTTACCTGGCTACTTTCTGCTACGGCTACTTTCAAATAGTCCTGCGTCCGGGCCGGAGTCTGTGAGAGCCGCTGTTTCGTGGCGCAGGCTTTGCTGCCTAGCCAAAGTTTGCCCACTATCAAAATCAAGCAACTAATATGTCTTTCATATAATTTATGTGTGTGAGCCGCATAAAATCCGCAAAACCAAAGTCCACGCCCCAGCAACGTGCGACGCTGCAGCCCGTCAACAGCAAACCAAGTGACACCAACAACAACCGGGAGCTGCTCTCCCTCTCCCTCTCCCTCTCCCTCTCGCTCTCCCTCTCCCACTCCCACTCTCTGGCTTACACACGCTGGTAAGAAAACTTTCTTAGTTGGCACACAGGGCACGTCCGCCTGTGGATACAATATGTCATTGTGGCTCCCAGCTCCTCGCCACATGAGTGGCCCACATGAGGCTTACGGGCGGGCGGTCCCCGCTGGAGCACTTGGCTTGTAACATGTGTCACTCGCGTCTCTGCGCCTCTCCACTTCGCCGGACGGTCAACGGCGACGCTGCCCGGCGTGCGTAGAGCCACGCTGGATGGATGGATGGCGGCATGCAGCGCTTGTTGACAGCACTTACGGCCTCAAGTACGGCGTATAAATTTTTGCATTCCGCCAGGCTAATATCTGGGAGTTGCGCCTGCCACCTGCGGCCCGTCTTAGCTTCTCCTCTCTCACTCTCTCACCCTCTCACCCTCTCCCCCTCCCACTCTGTGTCACAGTTGGCATGCAAATCCTAAAACAATCACTTAAAGTTATACGTGCGGAAGGGTCACACTTCCCATTGTCCCGGGCTCCTGCTGCTGCTGCTGCTGCTGCTGCCGAGCAGAGCGCGTCTTAAATGCTTGGCGCTTACTTCATTTGCCTCGGCTATTAGCCTCGCAGGTACTATTCGAGTGACTGGACGGGAGTGGAGCGACTCATCAAATATTTAGAGCTCAGCTGAGCTGAGCCGAGCTGAGTCCTAAATAAATTGCCATTGCTGCTGCGGTTTACGATTCGCCAGACTCGAGTTCCGATTTGATTTCAAATTTGAAATTTGAATTTTTAATTGGACTTCGACTCTATCTATATGTGGATCTAGATGATTATGTTTAATGTCAACTATTAAAAAGTTGCTTAACGACCTACTTCTCTCGTCATTTCTCAAGAGAAGTCTCACAATTTGCAGCCGTATCGTGTTTTGTGTTGTGTCGCCTGCAAAATGTTTTTTTCATAAAAATGAAATGGCTTTTTTAAAGAAGGAAGTGGCTTTTCGGGGAAATTAACCTATTAAAAGTGTTTTGCAAGAGTATAGAGCATAGAGTATAGAGATTAGAGTATAGAGTATAGAGTATAGAATATAGAGTATAGAGTATAGAGTATAGAGTATAGAGTATAGAGTATAGAGTATAGAGTATAGAGTATAGAGTATAGAGTATAGAGTATAGAGTATAGAGTATAGAGTATAGAGTATAGAGTATAGAGTATAGAGTATAGAGTATAGAGTATAGAGTATAGAGTATAGAGTATAGAGTATAGAGTATAGAGTATAGAGTATAGAGTATAGAGTATAGAGTATAGAGTATAGAGTATAGAGTATAGAGTATAGAGTATAGAGTATAGAGTATAGAGTATAGAGTATAGAGTATAGAGTATAGAGTATAGAGTATAGAGTATAGAGTATAGAGTATAGAGTATAGAGTATAGAGTATAGAGTATAGAGTATAGAGTATAGAGTATAGAGTATAGAGTATAGAGCATAGAGTATAGAGTAGTATACTATACTAGAGTGCCTAGTTATATTCAGGATATACAATATTTATTTTTAGTAGGGAGTAAATGGAAGTTGAGGCTTTGTTGCTTGGGTGTTGGTGGTGAAAAGTTGACAATGGAAATTGCGATAAGCCACTCAACGTGTGATGCGGTCGGGTGCGGTGGGTGGGGCACGGCACAATCAATGCACCGCTGACCAGCTGACGAATTTGCCGTGCGGCACATTAATGCGACTAATGGGCAAAGTTTTATGCCTGTGCAACACTTGAGGCATTCTCGCCTCGAGTGCCAGCAGCGAGCAGCGAGCAGCGCAATTCGCTTTAATACGCGGCGCACTTAAAGTGCGACAGGAGTTGGCGATGTTATAAAATTATGCTGCGAGCCGAGCCGAAAGAGAGGCCACGCACCACGAGAAAGAGCGACAGAGGAAGCGACAGTAAGAGAGAGAGAGAGAGAGAGAAAGAGATAGTTGTAAAGCGTGATGGGGGCGAGGGCGAGCGGGGCGAGCAGGAGTGCGCAGCTTAAGAGAGCGCAAGCGAGTCGCTTATCAGCCAATGGCCCAATGTTGACAATGCTGACCTGTCCAAGACGCAGCAACAGCGCCCAGGAGCTTGTCAGGCTTAAGGATATCCAATGTTTGGGCCTACAACTAGCTGCTCGAGCTGGCATTGTTTGGCGGCATCCTAGCTGAAAGAGAAGAGAATCTGGCTTCGTGTGCGATTTGAAATTCGAAAGGTTTTCGCACCAATCGGCAGCAGGAGGCGCTCGGCAGCTCAGCTGGTTCGGCTCGCTTGGCTCGCCTGGCTGTCGGCTGTCGGCTGTGTCGGTTACTGGCGCGGCTCCTGTCGGCTGCTTGGCCAACTAGACTCGACAGTTGGTTATGAAATCTCAACGTGTTCGCACGTGCCGCACGGAGCACGCAGCAGCAGCCAACCAGCCATCAGTTCAAGCAAATATCACAAACTCAAACTCACAACAGTCGCAATGAAACATCAAAACTGTCAACAGAACAATAAAACCTAAAATTTAAAAAAAAATAAAATAATAATAAAAGTAAAAATAAAAATATAAAAAATAAACAAATAAAAAAGAAATACAAAATAAACCCAAAAGTCTAAAAACTAATATAAACAAACAGCATAAAAAATACATCCAAGTTTCATGAACTCATCTCAAATTCGAAAACCATATTCAGTGTCTGGAGAATCGTCGCCGAAATTCAAATCGTTATCAATCAAATCCCAATCAGCTCAATCAACACGCTGCGTGCCAAGTTTATAAACAACAAATATTTAACCGAGTTTTCAGTTTCAAATCAAACCGTCGGCAATTAAATCATCCCGTTCTTGTTGGTTCGTTCGTTTGTTTGTGTGTGTGTGTGTGTTTTTTTTTTAATTCTTTGAGACAATTTTTTTTTTTTTTTTTTTTTCTTGTTGTAAAATATAATATAACAATAAGTGTGAAGTAAAGTGTATGTTGAAATCTGAAAAGTCTAAAAAGTAAATGTGGCTAAGGGCGCCAGAGCCAAAGCAAGAAATTTGAATTGAATTTGAATTTGAATTTGAATTTGAGTTGAAATGTGTGCGAAAATATTTCGGATCTGAGAGATCGCCTCAAACTTGTGAGTGCAATTCCAAGGCGCGCAATGTAAGTATTACTGCTCAAGTAATCTAACTATCTAATCTAGAAGTTATTATATGGATATACATGAAATTTGTAGAGAGTATATGAATTGATGTGACGAATGAATATTCTGAAAACCGAATTTGCTTAAAAGTAAATCCATTTTTAAAGTGTTTTTCTGAAAATGAATTTGTTGAGGGCTCAGTCAAATAGCATCAAAATTAAGCTTTGATTTAAAGGTTTTTTTTTTTTTTTTTTTTTTTTTTTTGACTCATTCACGAAAGTGAAATAGGTATTTTGGCTTTAACCCTCTTGCTATTGAATTAGAGACTTGAAAGTCGGAACATATACTCGTGTATACCCTTGATTGATAAAGTGTCAACAATTTTCAAATACGCCCACTAGGGGCGTGGCAAGGCAGAAAATGCATTGCCAGGTATCTCAGAAACTCTGATAGTTGAAGTGCCAGATATTTGTCATTTGGAATGTTCGCGTTGACAATGCAAGACCAAAAAGATATGGTGAATATATCTACGCCTATTGGGGAAATCGAATAATTTTCATCCTCTAAAGTATAAGAGATAGAAATAAAATAATTTATGTATAGACCAAGTGGGCGAAATGGAAAATGGATTTGTCAGCGTTTGGGCTGTGAATGAGTATTCTGCAGTCGGTCATGCTCAACTGAAACGTTCAATAATTTAGGTAATGCAAGACAGTGAAATTAATGGACAATTATTAATGGAAATTAATGACATACGTACAAATCTAAAATTAGTTAGAGTAGTTTCAATTTATAAAAAAAAGTCACCATTTTTTTCTAATCTATATATTTTGGAAATGTATCTAATTATCATAAAATAAATGAAATAAGAAGCATGATAATTTAAAGAAATGAATTAGTAATAAAATATAAAACAATAATAAATTCATGTATATAAAATATAATAAAAATCATTAATTACAATTAAACAACATATGCGATGCATTTCATTTATAATGATTTATTTATTAATATTTTCCTTTTAATTTTAATTTTAATTTTTTTAATTCCTAATAATAATGCTTATGATTTATCTTTAAATGTTAATAAAATATTAATAATAAAAAAAGAGTATTTAATTCATAAGTAAATGAAATGTATATATTAATAAATTACAGAATAAATCTTAGAAAATAATAACACTTAAATAATAATAATTAAATTAATACATAAATATATAATAATATATAAACTTTATTTATTTGCTAATTCATTTAGTGAATAAATAAAACGTATATATTTATCAATTAAATAATTCAATGAATTTTATTTTTTAGATTTATTTATTAAATTATATCTTTATTAATTTCGATATATATTTAATTGATAAATCATTAATTTATTAATATTTTCTATATATTTATTTATTTTATATATTTTTTTTTATATTGCTAAATTATTTATTATTTATATTTGTTATATATTTAATTAAAAAATAATTTATTTATTTTTCTGTTTCACTTATTTTATAATGTAATTCTATGCACTTTCAAATTAAATAATTATTTTTTATATGTTTCTGAATTTTTAACTTTATAATTTATTTATTAATTTTGAAAAAATTTGGATAATTTATCATTTATTTAAATTGACTTATTTATATCTACATTTCCAGTTGCTTCCATATACATAACTAACATACATACACATTTTTAAAATTCCGAATATAACGGAACTTGAAACTGAATTAGTGCCTGCAACTAAGCAATTCATTATGCAGTTAGTCGCAGCTGCCTCGTAATTGTGTTAAAACTTTCAGCCAACATTGTCAGCTTCTTGGCGCTGAATGCAAACGTGCAACAAATCGTGGAAATAGTGAAACGAAAAAGGCTAAAAATGTTAGCGATTTGCTGGCAAAATGTTAATGTAGCAGAGGCTAGAGAGAGAGAGAGAGAGAGAGAGAGAGAGAGAGAGGGAGAGATAGAAAAAAGATAGCCGAAAGATGGCCGAGGCAGTTGGCGGCGATAATAAATAGTCATATCGATGGCCGGAGCTGGGCTGGGCGAGCAGACGGCAAATCTCTTATGGCAAACGCTGTTAATATGGCTTTTAGTTGTTCTGCTGACTGAGGCTGAGGCTGGGGCTGGGGCTGAGGTTGGGGCTGGGGCTGGGGCTGAGACTGGGGCAAACATCTGCGGCATGTGCTTAAGTTAATTATTATCAATTAATAGCTAATCACGATAAATGTGCATGAAAACGGGGCCAGCAGCAGCAACAACAACAACAACAACAACAACAACAACAGCAACTGGAATGGCGCAGCTAAATGGGCCAGGGATGGGCGGAGTCGTGCGTGGTGTGAGTGTGGGCCTTGTTTATGCTGGAATGGCTGGCACGCAACAAATGGCCCTGACAGCAGTAAGACATGCTGCCCCGCCAGCACATCCTGTTGATTTGTCACACGCGGCGTATGAACAATGCCGTGGCTGGTAATTAAAAATACGCATACGCACCGCGCGCCAGTTGTCAAGATATATGAGAGATATATGGCAGTCGCGCAGCGCACAGCGCACTGAAATAGAGTGAAAACAATGCCAGAGACAACAAAACATACTACACAATGGATAGACAGAAGCTCGAGCGTGTAACAAGTGATTGGGTTTGTCTCACGCCCCAGCTTTACGTCTGTCGTGTGTGTGTGTGTGTGTGTGTGTGTGTGTGTGTGTGTTTGTGTGTGACAGTCTGCGTGTGTGTGTGTGTGCGTGTGCATGTCTGACAGTGTCAGATTGTATGTGGGTGAGCGCGTCTGCCTGCCAGCGATATTGTCGCACACCCACAGCACAAAATACTCCAGCGCGACTTAACTCCAATGCTCCCTATGCCAGCCGACATTGTTCTCCGCAGCATCGAACCATCGCTTTGCCATGTTCCCGTTTCTATTTCCACTTCCTCATCTACTCCGCCTTCACTTCCATTTCCACTTCCACTTCCACTTCCACTCAGTCAGTCAGACAGGTAGTTAAACTTAGCCAGCAGCTTAATTGCATTTGCTCTGAACTATAATTTCGTTTACCTATAGCATTGAGCTGAGAACCTTTCGAGCTCTGATTGATTTGCCAAGCTACAGCTGGAAGTGTTTCAATATAGCTAAAGACAAGCTGGAACATTGCTGGGTAGAAATTGAAGGACAAATGACCCTACATGAGATGCTCAGGGCTCAGGGTCGGTGATATTCGGGTATATCCTAGTCAGGGTATATCGTCGTCGGGTATTTCCCAGTCAGATATATCCTAGTCTGGTGTATTCTTTCCGGGTATATCTTAGTCTGGTATATCGTATCGTATTCATTGGGTATATTCCAGTCGATTATATCCTGGTCTGCTATATCCTAGTCAGGTGTATGCTAGTATGTTCTATCCTAGTCGAGCATACCCTATCATACGCCATTAACATTATTATTATTTTTTCTTAAACGCAGCAAGCATTTGGGCTGCTCATCAGTTCATCAGTTTTTTGTGTGTTGAGTAGTTACAATTCTTACGGAATAATTTTAATAAATTTTCTTTGAAAATCCACAATAAGCTAATGCTCCGCCAGCGTTAATCCAGTTCGCAACAAACAGGAAAGTATTAAGAGCCGCTGAAAGCATAGCCAAGCCAAGCCAAGTCAACAGCAGCAGGAGCAGGAGCAGCCACAACACCAACAACAACACCAACAACAAGCAGGAAACCCGAATCAGACCGTCTAATCATTGAGGCATATAGGAAAATGGCCAACATGTCGGTGTTACGGATCAAGCGAGAGCTTGGCGAGGTTATGCGAGGCGACGAGATCGTACAGGGCATGATCAAAATCGAACTGCTCAATGACAATTGGACGGACCTGCGCGGCGAGATAACGGGACCGAAGGACACGCCCTACGAGGGCGGCAAGTTTGCCCTGGAGATCAAGGTGCCGGAAACGTATCCGTTCAGTCCGCCCAAGGTGCGCTTCACCACGCGCATCTGGCATCCGAACATTTCGATCGCTACCGGCACCATCTGCCGGGACATACTGAAGGACAATTGGGCAGCGGCGATGACCCTGCGAACGGTGCTGCTCTCGCTGCAGGCCCTGCTGTCCGCCGCCCAGCCGGACGATCCGCAGGACGCGTGCATCGCCTACCAGTACAAGGCCAAGCACGATATGTTCCAGCTAACGGCCAAGCACTGGACGAACGTTTATGCAGGCGGGCCGCACGCCTCTACCGAGTGCAACACGAAGGTGCAATACCTCAAGGAAATGGGCATAGATGAGCACGAGGCACGGACCATACTCTCCAAGGAGAACTGGAATCTGGAGGGCGCCACCGAGCGGCTATTTCACTGAGACACTGACCCATTCAGGCAACTTAAATTCGAGCTACAGCTGTCCAAGCTGTTTGGACAAGCCATATAAATTCTAGCCCACCAATCACCAATCAATCAATCAACCCCATCAATCAATCAGTCAGGCAATTCTACATCAGCGGAGTTCCCAAATTCCGGTTTCGAGCATCCACAGCTGTTGCAGGAAGAGCCCAACTCCATTTCTAAATAACGCATAGGTTTCAATGAGTTTTGTAAATTTTTATCCTTTTATACTTTTCCAAATCCCATTCTTGTGTAATACAAATGTATGTATGTATATATAGAAGTATGTGTAAGATTATTTCCAGGCGCCAGGTGAGATGACAACTTTAAATGAGACTTGCATTCGCTTGAGGCACATTTCAAGCTCATTTAGAGCTCTGAGTAAAGTTTTCTTTAAGCTCACTTTGAGCTGCCTTGAAAGACGCTTAAAGCTTAATTGAAGCTAGTATTGAGATTAAAGCTCACTTAAAGCCAAGGCTGGCACAACCCTTAGAGCTTGTAGCTTTACTTCAAGCTCACTTAAAGCTTGCTACAATGTAACTTGCAGCTTACTTCATGCCCACTTGAAACTTATTTCAAGCTAAGCTTTACTTAAAGCCTACTTAAAGTGAGTTGAACGCTCTGAAAGCGCACTAAAGTCTACTCTTGAG